AGGAATGTTTCAGGAAGTCAGCTGTAAACAGGAGCTGAGTCTCACATCTTTCCTATGCAGCTTTTCAGGTTTCAGGTGGCAGCAGCAATACTACCAGTGTCTTACCCCAGCACGTACAGCTCATCAATCTGTAGCATCTCTTTTCTTCTGCTGCAACCAACAAGTCCTTAACAGCTGAAACCTTCCCGCTCTGTAACCCCCGCTGGCAGCTGCCCTACCACAGAGCTCAGCTGCGAGTGTGTCAAGGAACCAGGGCCCAGCTCTGACAGGGCCCAGCTATGTCACCTCAACTCAGGCTGCTGGGAGAAACCTGTGAGAAAGTCCACAGAGAGAAGAGGGAGGTACAAATCATGAGAAGAGGCAGGATTGATGGGAGATGGACTCGGAAGTAGTTCAAGGAGCCAGAAGGGAAGGTGGTGACACTGTGAGGTACAAACTATGAGAGAAAGAGTGCCCAGGGAGATTAGCTGAGTTGGTGGGTGCAGCCAGGGAGGGGACAGGCCTCACTGTGCCCTGTGGCCGGGCTCTGCTGGCTGCTGCAGGGCCGGCCCTCCCCTCTGCCCGGCCCACACCTGCCTGACCATTCAGGACACATGCCAGCTGTCTTTTGTGCTGGACAGCTGATAAAAACATTGCTTTGTATTTTTCAGCCGTGTATCTTCTACTTGCGGGGTCTCAGCACTCAGCTGTGGGTGCCCAAATGACTCAATGCGAAGAACAACACTAATACACCTCTGGCAGAGACAAAAACATGCTACAGATGAGGCCGTTGTTGGGTAGCTCACACAGAGAAAAGAGAGAATGAAAAAATGGGGCCAGCCCAGATCAGCAAGATCAAGTTTCCCAACAGTCAGCCCAGCTGGGTGCCCCTGTGCTACACATGTCCAAAAGATGCTTTTGTAATTCACTGGTAGCTGCAAATAATTGTTAGTCTAAATATGCCTCCTCAACCTTGCTCCTAAAAAAAAGTAGGTACGAAGATGTAGTGGCCCTTACCCAGAAGTGAGCAAGAATGTTGACTTCAAACATTCTTTCAATCTGGTGGTCCTGAGTTGAGAGTAGGTCGGCAGCTGTAATCACACCAGCGTTATTCACCAGGATGGAGACATCCCCAATGTCCTTTTTCACCTTTTGGACAAAAAACCCCACAGAAAGATGCATGTCATTCGTTATCAAAAAAATGCAAGGCTGTGGAAGATGAGCGACAATTAATTTAATTCTTAATGTTGTTTCGTTTAGGGAGAGGAAGATCACTCCACATTTCCAGATGTGGTAGGAACTGTGCAGTGGTGCCATGAAATCTGGTTTAGATCTGACGCTTCTCTCTTAATTACTGCCAGTATTTATAGTCTTCCACATATTGCCCACAGACGCAGCATGCTCTGTGTAGTTATGGTTGGGACTACGGATGTACAGACTGTTTTGAGCCAGCTGGACCATACCCTTTACAATGACATGTTTCAAATGTCCTCAGCGTTGCCTGTGTGCTGTTCAGGGAACAAAAAGGCAGAAGTTCCTTCAGGGCTGGAAGTCTAAAGAGTAAACTTGGCAACGAGGTGTGATGCACCGGATCCTCACAAGAGAGGATGAGACTGGCTGCGATCTCGGAACTGTTACCTCACACTCCATACAGAAAGCAGCAAGAAGTGGGGAGGTTCCAAAGGCTTGCATGATTTGCATACAATACCTCTTCTCTTGCTTTCCTGACTTTTCTGAAAATCGAGCATGTTTGGGTAAGCCTTTGAATGTGTCCCTGCTCCCCTACCTTCTCTGCAGTGCTGTAGACTTCCTCCCTTTTCCTGCAGTCCACCACAAAGGCGTGAACAGTGGCTCCCAGCCTTTCGCATTCTGCTGCCGTGTCCTCAATGCTCTGCTGTAAGAGGCAGAAAAGAAAGACACGTGTGCACAACTGTACCCTGTCCGCATGTTGCTGCTCGGGCACTACAGCAGGCCAGTTAGAGGCTGAAGATTTATCCTGATTGCATAACCACTGCCAAGCCCCCAACCGGTTCATGGCTACCCCGGGAAAGAGCTGTAGCCGGGGTCCATGGGAGGGCCAGTATTCTGACCTTAAATTCTGGACCTGCGTAGAATGCATGCCAGAAAGGGAATGTGGCAACGAGTGATTTTGCCTTGGTAAAGCACATGTCACTAGGCTGCAGGAAGGGGGCACTCAGTGACTTCCACAGCACCGCAGGCAGACACCGTGACTGTAAGCAGAGCACTTAAAACGCAGGCCTGGCTGACACCCCCGAGATATGAAAAGTGGCCCTGTGCACTTCTGCATTCACAGACTGGGTCTGAGAAGTGTGCTCCAAAGTGCACAATGTAGAGAGAGCTTCCTTATGAGGGCAGCATTTGACACATATGGGAGACATGCTCCATTGAGATGCATTTGTGGACATATTGCCTGTCTCGGTGAAGGACTGAAACCGTGTTGAATGCCAGAGCCCAAGCACTGCTCCCTGGAAACAGTGTCAGCTTTCTTTTCGCTCGGTAACAAGCAAGTGTGAAGTGTTGTCCCAGTTCATGTCTTGGGTCTGAACATCTGTTCCTATGACAGAAGACTGTCCAAATAGGAAGATGCTCTTTTCATTCAGCCACATTTTTCTCCATTAGTGTGGTCTAGGCATTTCATCCTTTGCCTCAACATTTTGGAGGTTTTGTAGGACATGGTCAGTAGTGTGAAGAGCATTTGGTGATGTCCATCTTTTATATTAGAGTGAGCTAATATAAAAGCCCAGCTTTCTGCCTCAAAGCAGGATCAACAGGGTCATGCTGTTTCTGACCTTCTATCATCATCTAAATTTTTCTTAAAACCTTCAGGATGCACTGCGTCTCTTGGCAATGTATTTCAGGGCCTGCTTATCTCCATCCTTACAATATATTTCCCAGCAGCAAAGCTCACTCACTTGCTGTTAAATTTTTTCCTTCTTCCTCTATTCCAGTGAACACGGACACGATGAACTCCTCTGCAGTTTCTGATCCACTGTGTCAGAAACTGTTCCCGTGCACTGTTACCCAGCTGCTCACCCGCTCTGTACAATCGATCACTCAGGACTTTGCCTTGATCCCTACTGAATGACATTCTGCATGTTTGTACCTGTCCATCCTCCACTCGACAAGGCCTTTTTTTGTCGTAGTCAAATTATCTGAAAGAAAGAGTTTGGGCAAGTGCAAACATTTAGTAATGTGCCATTTACATGCATAACTGTGCCAGAGGGCAGCAGGGCTCATATGCAGCTCAACGCAGTGCTGCCTGTCAATATGAGCAGAGACACATCTTTCAGCAATGTATGCAAAATCTCTGAGGCTAGGGAGGCAGAGAGCAGAAGGTAAACCCGCTTCTCTGTAGAAACAGGCTTCTGGTCCGAGCGTGCCTTTTCCCGCCAGCCAAGGCAGTGGTTCCAACAGCAGCTTGCTGACCATTGTGTTCCCTCTTGCAGAGACTCTCTGACATGCTGTGTGTGGTACCTCGCTGCTTAGCACTAAGTAAGTGTGGGACGCAGGCACCTACGTCCTCTGGTGCAAGTGGGGCCAAACCCTGCACTGGCGACCAGCATCCCAGTCCCTGAGCTGACCGTGAGCTGCTGGGAGCAGACGTGGAGGGAGGTGATGTGGGTGCAGACTGTATGCAGCCTTTCTTACACTATTAAAACCCAGTGGCCTCAGAGATGAACGAGTGAAGACACGAATTGTACCATTACCTTATTGATGTCCCACAGAACCAGCCTGCTCTGACGCTTGGCGAACTCGAAGGCAGTCGCTCTCCCCACGCCATGGCCAGCACCTGTGATAAGAACAAGCTCCCCGCTGACAGACTTTCTCTTCACGGGGATAAAGAGCTTCACAAAAGCCTCTAAGTAGGAGTAGACGAGCGTAGCCAAAACCAGGAGAAGGTCCAGAAACGGATTCATTTCTTTCCGCAAGCCCTTTGCCCGCCGGGCTGGACTTGGCTCTCTCGGGGGGAGGACGCGGGTCGGTGATGCACCAGCAGCCCGCGGCACGCCGCAGCGCGCTCCGCTCGTC